GTTCCAGGACTCTCTAAAAGGCACACAGAATTTCCCCTACATCGTGCTTTTGAAAGTGTGAACATTCTTCTTATGATTACTTAATTTCACATTAACAAAATAATTTATGTACTACTTGGGGAATGCTTTTTTACCTAACATCAAGACATAAGGATTTATTATAAACCTTTTATAATAGCAAACACTCTTTTAACAAATCTTTTCAAGCCAAATTCTGTCCAGAAAATCTAATTCATAACAATTTGAATAGCAATTAATCCTTCTCAGATTAGTAGGAAAAAATACTCTTGTTTTTACCCTGACCTGACAGAACAACTCAGGTGGCATATCCTTTGACATTGTAACATGGTTTCAAGATTTTAAAGTATTCTTCAATACCAAATTATTCATCACAAATACTCTTTCAAACAGAATACCTTTATATTTTCGAGTAGTCCCTTTCCTGGTAATATTCAAACACATGCAGAAACAATGTCATGGTGGGGGGGGGGGGGCTGACTTGTTAATCTTATATTTGGATGAAGTAAAAGGGAATTGTCCTTGGACTTGGGACTCACAGTAAAGTTGCCAACGTTTGGCAGACCACTGAGAATATGGTTAAGTCACAAGTCCATGACAAAGCTTTTTCCCTGAAAACTTTAACTAGCAATTGCCAACAAATAGAAGGAGAGCCTACAACTTGCCTAATTCTGTTTGAATATGTGTTTGCTATGCATGAAGAACACTAAAGCACAGCTCTACCCAGCTATCACCTCATCACTGGCTCTGTTAGTTTTAAAAGCTCAAGTTTACAGCTCCAAGTTTAGTTACCCCAACACACAGACTCAAGGTAAAGCATGTCAGTAATGGCTTAAAGTGCCCCAATAAAGAACAGTCTATAAACTGATAAAATATAACACAGGAATGGGTCATATTGATATAATATGCCATTAGTCCAGGTCGACTTAGAATGATAAACATGTATGGTGTTAGAACAGTTACCTGTTATTAATTAGAGAATGTATTTGAAACCATACATATGAAATCATGAAAACCTACTTATAAATGTAGTCAAGCCATAGAAATGGACAGGTTTTGGATCAGAGCTGCTCTTTTTGAACAAGACGTTAAGACCAAGAGACTGCAGGAGTCAGATCCTACAGTGGAGCCAGTGTGTCCTAAGATTATGAATGTGACTAGCAGAAGGTGAACATCTTTGTCATATCCCTGTTGTTTTTATAACTCCTCCCCCACTGAAAACTAAAAGTAAAAAAAAAAAATCCCAAGCCAAACACTGTTAGTAGAGTTAGAAGAAGGTCTCCTTGACTCCAAGAAAGAAAGGCAGTCAGCTAAATTATCATAATTCTATATTCTTTCAGCACTGTATTTCAAGTTAGGCTCCATCTATCAGAGCCCCGAAGCAATTCAATTAATTCTCACACACTTATATTAAGAGTACACTCTGATTAGTGTTGCATTAGCAGATGCAAATCATTTTCTGGAGAAAGCAGGGAATTGAAAATTAAATAAACAAATATGTATTGCTTGGAGAAGGTCACCCCCCAAAAACGGGAAAGAATTGTGTTGATCAAGCCTACCAGCAAAAAGCATCCTCATCAAGAGTCTGAAGAAGCATTTCATGGCACCAAAACATTCAGAAAGCCAGCATATTGTGTACTTTCACAAGCTTTGTTGAAAAACCTTTCTAAATATGTCACATTGAAAACTGGGGTCTCGTCTACTTGAAACAGACTGCTGTTTAACTTTAGCTTCCAATCTGGGGTTAATATTTTTAGAAGGACAAGCCTCCACCCTTCCCAAAATATTTTCTCATTCATCTCTCTGCACAGCTTGTTATGTTGGGTTGTATGTATACAGGAGTCAATAGATCTTAGAGCCATATCTCATCTTCACCTTGCAAAGGACTATGGGAGCAAATTTGCCTAAATTGTCTTTCTGCCAGAGTGGATAAAAGAATTTGCCAGAAGGAGGCTTTCATGATAGGTATTACCTCCTTATAGACAAGTGCCAAAATTAAGTGGAGCTTCAGCATTATTGTCAAGATGTAAACATTAGCCTAATAATTAGCTCCACTGGGTATTGAATGTTTTTATTTCAAATTTTCTTCCTTTCAAAATATCAAGTCCTAAATCCTTAAAGCATTTGGAGGTACAGTATTGATCCCAGGTGCTTAGTCATTTGGGGATTGAACCTTTAAATTCTTAACCCTAGCAAGTATGGCCATTATTCAGTATCAACCTATCCCCCCTCAAAAAATTTTATTATTCAAACTTGAGCAGCACATCAAAACAAAATTCAGTACATAAGAACTGATAAAAATGTATGCAAAGAGGATTGGGTGTGTTTGATTTCCTTCCTTTAGAGATGAGTCTCTCTTTGTACCTCCTCCTTGGCCCCAGATGCGTTTTTCAGAGACATTTGTTAACATTGATAAGGGGAAAATGGCCTTGTGCCCAGTTGATACTTTTCTGAGTCATTTAACCCATATTTCTTTATTCTGAATTTTCTTGGAAAAAAAGTTTTTTGTATGTTGACAACTGAGACATGCCCTTAGACAAAATCCTTTTTTTCCCCAGTCAATTCTTTAGTATCATTAACTGCAAAATTAAAATATTGAAAGTAGACTTTCCCTGTTTTATAAAGTGGATTCATTCTTGGCTCAGAATCAAATCCTGTGGACATGTGAGATGCGTGCACTTCCCAGTGGCTGTAATCTGAGGATTTTATTTAAACTGTGCTTTGAATCTATAGTAATTTGGTGTTGGGGAGGAATAGGATCTTTATCAACAAAGGGCTGCCAGAACCCCAACTGCTTCTTGAGTAGCTATAATTGATGAATAATGTTACAACCAACCGTGCGTTTCAGTTTTTGCTCAAAAGGCTTTTCAGCTAATGCTGGTGGTATTCCATATCCATGTGTTCATCTCAGAGTGCAGTAGTTTCCATCTGATTTTCATTACTTTTCTTGAGAGGATCAGTTTTACAAGTGGAATCAGGAAAGCAGTCAAAGTAATTGCAAGTGGCAATCAGTGAAATATAACAATTTTTAGCTTAGGAACACATGTTCCATTATAAAGAAAAAAATATTTTCCCATAATTCCAAGACTTGTATTTTCCCAGGGCTAGAAAGAACAAAGCGTGGGTTCTAGGCTTCCTTTCATCACATGCTGATTCCCTGAGAAGTGCTTCTTCCTCTCCAGGGATAGAAAAGGCATTACCTCCCAAGGAAACCCAGCCCCTTTTTTTAAATTCAGATTATTTGAAAATGCTTTGTTGGAGTTGAAATTCCTTCCTCTATAGTTATTTCCTCTATAATTGAAAAGTTGAGTCTCCACAGAGTACATCTGAACTTATCTTTTGATGTCTCTGGCTGTTCTTATCCCCAACTCCTAATTTTTCCTGTGCTGTTTTCATGTGCATTCCTTTCTCTCGTCGAACGGTTTTGATTTCCTTAGTAACTCTAGTCATTCTCTATAGAAGCATCCCAATTTTGTCCATATCCTGTTAAAGGTATTATGCTAAAGAAAAGTTAGACTTCAAACCAGAATACATGTATTGAAGTACAGCTCTCTATTTGCTAAATGTTGGACCTGTGCAAGTTATTCTTTTCTTGTCATGAGAGGTAGAAAGGATGAATAAAAGAGATGGTATAGTGATCAAAACATGTGGTAAGCTAGTTAACTGACAGTTAAGGATTTATTACCTGTAATAGTGGCATGAAGGGTTGTTACGGGAGTTCTGAGGTCTTGGGGGCTCAGGGCAGGTCTGGATGGAGGCTGCTTGAAGAAGGGAAGGAGACAGCGTGTTGTAGGGAATAGATGGCGAGAAGGTGGAAGAGTGATGTTTTCTGACAACTGAAGCAGGTCAGGGCCTAGAATATAGAAGAGGAGTGAAATTAGATGCATCTGGAGAAGCCCAGGGCATTGTAGGCAGGGTTGAAAGTTTGGATTTTATTTGGGGTATAAGGGAAAGCCATTGTTGGGGTTGAGGAAGAGAAGTTACAATATCTCAAGTATGTTTTTAGAAACTGCTCTCATGTTAGATGGAGAAAGACAAAAGTCAAAGTGAGTCATTTAGGAGGCAATTGTCCTAACCCAAAGACAGGTTCATGTGCTACTTCCTAACCCCAGGAGAGTTGAATGAGAAGCAGTGCTCACTAGAGGTTTGAGGCAGACAAGCCCATGGACTGCCTGTGATTAAACTTGACTTCACCAATGTAGGCAACTTGGCCAAGTTTTTTTTTTTTTCTTACTTTATGTATACCTGTTTCCTCCTTTATGAAAGGATAATCATATCAGGACTTTGTGCATATTGCTGTGAGGACTAGAAGAGTTTACATATGAGTTACCTCTTAGCTAAATCTTCAGCAAATGTTTTGTTATTGTGACATGTGCCACCCTATTTTTGCTTTTTCCAATTCAGACATTCCTTTATTTAATTATTGTGTGGAAATGGGAAAGAACATGAGTAAGAAATGTGACCAGATTGTTTATTGTCCTTTGTGAACTTTTTTTTTTCATTGTACTGAAGATTGGACCTATCTACCACTGAACTATATCTCCAAATTCTCTTTATTTTTTGAGACAAGGTCTCCCTGAGTTGCTGAGGATGTCCTTAAACTTTCAGTTCTGTCTCAGCCTCACAGTAGCTGTGATTATAGGCACAAGCCACCTTACCTGGCTGCCAACTACTTTTTGCTTGGAAAGAAGGAAAAACAGAGAGCCTTGGAGATAAAACGCATCCTGTGGGCCATCTATTGTATTTCTCTTTCTTTGGTAATCTACCTTGCCATATTATAAATACCTTGAACATTGCATTTTTTTAACATGATGTCCTTGATAAGACCTATTTTTAATCTTGCTTAAAACCCAAAGTTCAATATATTGTGACTCCTCTAGAATAATATGGAGTGCTAATATAGCATTGCCATTAGGTGATACCCAGGTCATTCCCCCTGGGCGATATGTTCACCTAGTTGAATGACATTCCTTGTTTTACAGGCATCCCAGGAAGTGACTATGTGAATGCCAACTACATAGATGGCTATAGGAAGCAAAACGCCTACATCGCCACACAGGGATCCCTTCCTGAAACATTTGGGGACTTTTGGAGAATGATATGGGAGCAGCGGAGTGCCACCGTTGTCATGATGACAAAGCTAGAAGAAAGATCCAGGGTAAGAACAAATTGTGCACCTCCTCAGGGTCTTCCCTCTGAGAGCTTCTATGTTGCCTGTTTTATTCTGTTCAGAATCCAACCTAAGGCTGAACATTTTCTGACAGATATTAATTGTGAATGAGTATCAACAACTCTGATTAAGCTCTTCTTTAAAACCCATAGAATTTCAAAAAGGAAATTCTACCATGTTAAGATGTTTGTGGTTGCTAAAAGGAAAAAAGTAGCATTCAAGCTCATAGACAGCTTGGTTTGACCAACTAAAATCATCTTGAATCTCTTCTTAAAACTCATATTGAATGAGAACCCAGAGGTTTGGGGGAGAATCCCACTGGTATATACTCCGCAAAATTTTCCACTTTTTCTTTCTCGCAATCTAAATCTAAAAATCCCTGTAAAAGAAGCTCTTACTTAAATTATTCAAATTAGCATAAATTAATTCAAGGCAGCCAGAAAAACGATGTGGCTTAACACAAGGCCAAGAATACACATAAATGTGTTGAGGGCATTTTGCTAGTTTAGACTTTTCCAAGTCATTGCTTGTTAAGATTCACAAAAGGAGTTTTATTAATCATATGGATCCAGTATTAGGGTGCGTGGCACACTGATTAAATGCCATTGATTTGGAAAATGAAGACATAATGCGCAAGCAGTGTGCCTTGTTCCCCTCTACATGGGCAAATTTTATTGCCATCTGATGAAAATCTTTAGCTTTGAGAGTTGAAGGAAAGGGGTCTCTGAAAACTCACTGAAGACACATGTGTGCTCCTTGAAAGTTGGGATTGATCAAGGTGGAGTTTGAGGCCACAGGTGAGAGCTCTGTCTCTCTGGTCATGGTAGTCTCAACAAGCATACTTAGAAGGAAGCCAAAACTCAGTTCCCCACTTGACAGTTGAGATTGCTTAAGCTCAACCCTGGAAGTGTCTCTTAGCCCAGGTTTGTACATGAGGGATGAGTTAAAGGCCACCCAGGAGATAGATAAGGGAAAAGTTCACATGTAGGAAAATATTAAAAAGCTGCAACTGTTACCTTAAAGGTGGAAAATCAAAAGGTATGGTACAGGCTGGTTTAATAAACCTAAAAAGCAATGCAGTCTTTTCAAAATTTCAGAATTTTGAAATACTGTCTGAAATGAACTTATATAAAAATGGCCATAGTGCTAATGACAAATATTTCATGTTTCCAATGAAAGCCCCAAATGATATAAATGGATTCATTATTGATTGGTACTCAGGGGTATCCCTATATAGCAAGTGGTTTCTTTAAAAACAACTCTGACCCAAATATTTATGCTTGAATATAACCGTTAATGATTTTAACAATATCTAACCGTGTTAAATGCATTGATGTTTCATAAAACTGAGATAAACACTAGTTTGAACTCCACATTACATACAAGTATACTAAAGCCCAGAAAATTACAAAAGGTCGCCCAAGGTCATTCAGCTACCAGGGTCAGAGATATGAACTGAAGACAGACACTCTGGCTCCAGAACACACATGCTTCACCATCAGGCCACACTGCCTGGTGACTCTTCTGTTAAGCTGAGACAGCTGAACTATTCTATTACAGCATGCATGTAAATCCATCCTACCCAGTCTGCTCTGCCTAGAGATACCAGCTGGTAACAAGCAGTCATTTGCAAAAGCTGTTTTCAGTAAAACACACATTTTATCTTGACACTGCAGGCCTTCATTAAACTGTGCACAGAAACTTGTTTTGAAATAACCAAATGAAATTCTGCCCCTTTTCTCCCTAATTGCTTCTAATAATAAAGTTAGTTCTGACTGCCCCCACTGCCACTGCAACATCTGATGGTAATGAGCAGTTCTTGGCGGAAGGCATTGTGACTTAAATACCTTCGGTTTATCTTTCTGTTGCAGACTACCTTTCCCACCCCCTCCGACAGAGGAACTTATTTGGAAGTTCCTAAATGAACCTTTGTTTGCTCCCTTCATTAATTACTCTTTGCTCTTGCAAGTTAGCTTTCTTCTTTGTTAAATGGCCTAAGGAGGCCAATTAAAATGCTGTCTTGTGATTTTTATTCCATGGTGGTTCAGCCTGTACCCAAACTTGAGATGACCTGCATAAACCAGCAGGCAGTTTGGGAGTCTGGGTCATCATCAATCTGAAGATACAAATGAGCCCTGACCCCTGACACCAGCAAGCTCTTTGTTCCCCATTCTAGAACACTTGGGGAGAAGTGTCCAAATGTCACTGGGAGTTTGAACAAAGCACTGGTACCTCCAATTGTTTCATCTGCTCTTCTGCCTTCCTCTCTCACATCCTCCTGCCTCACCCTTTCCCTGTCCCGTTGCTTTTTCCCCCTGAAACAAGACTCTAGACTCTAGACTCTCAAACAAGAACTTGGATTGAATTGCACTATAAAAACAATGTTATAAATAGTGGCTAGTTGTTACTGAAATATATAGCTCCATATTTTAGGAACGTTATGGGTTGTGTGGGCTGACCTGGGAACCCAAGCAAATTCTCAATTCCCAGCAGCCAACTTCAAAGCAGACATTTGAACCTGCCTGGCTCTGCTCAGAAACTGCCCTGGAGTCTCCCCCATAAAGGGACGTAGTCCAGGTAGTTTAAACAAACCATCCTTCCAATGACTGAAATTTAATTATTTAGATTAAGGCTCAGGTTCTCACAATAATATTCACCCCATAGTATATGAAAAAGTACATGTTAATTAACACTTTTATGAATTAGACATATGCAAGATACCTGCTGAATATAGATATGGGGTGAGGAGTAGAGGGAAAGGAAAGGGAAGGCAGCATGGTTTCATGGAAGGCTGCACAGGGACACCATCAGAGAGAAGGGCAACATCAGGAATGACATAGTTCCAAGTAGGGGTTCTTTACAGTCAGATGTCTTAGCTCAGATTGCAGTTCTAATCCTTATAGCTATATAACAATGAGCTTATTACTTGACTCCTCAAAGTCTCATTTCTCATTTTTGGATTACATGAAAAGGTTGTGTGAGCATTGGCTGAGATAAGGAATGTGGTGGCAAGGTGTCCTGTAAGTATCAACTGTTATTGTTTGCCAGAGGTTGGTTGTTTTACCATTGCAACTTCAGTTTCCCCCCTAAAGCTGGCCTCTGAATAATTGTTTTTGTTCCCAAATGTAATGAGTTTTTGTTTTTTTGTGGTCAACAGTGAATCCCGACCTACCTCACAGAGCCACTGCGCATGGCTAATCCTGCCCGCTGTTCCCAGTACAAGCTCAAACCATGGGATTCTTTAGTACTTGCTTTCCCCCTGGACTCAGTCTCCAGAATGTAGGTCCTGGCACAGGAACTTGTTTGTCTGCAAGTAGACCAAAATAAGACATTCTCGTTGCTACTTTCACTACAACCATATCTCAAGCAATACAGTGGGAAATCATAAGTAACACAGAAATGGGCCAGACATGTGATGATTGTCACTACACATAATATATTTTTGACACCATATATCCTTTCAGTTCAGTTTTGCATCTTGCTTATTTCATGATGCTAAGAAATTCTCCCCTTAAAACCTGTTTGCTTTGTCTTGGTCTGGCTCACTTCCTGCCTGAGGTTTGTCGGCATTACTATAGCCCTCCCTACATTAGAACAGCTCACTGAGACACAAAGGCTGCGAGGATCAACAGCACATGCTAGAAGTTTCAGTGGTCTGTTTCTAGGAAACTGACAATTCTTAACATGGAATTGTCGAAGAAGCCCTCACAAGGGTGTAGTGCAGTTTGGGACCTAAGGTAATCACTTGAAAACTTAAGTTCTTTATCTTTCAAATGCCATCACTCTCTCTCTCTCTCTCTCTCAACTGTGGCCTTGAAAGAATCCTCAGCTTAACTGGGACTACTATGCGGTGTATACATTTCAGTTCTCAACCTTAAGAAGTATAAGTTGAATGAGTTTCACTATAGTATATAAAGAAATAAGATTTTTAAAATAAGTCTAAAATCTAGAGATTTTGAAGGTAAAATATGATCCCTGCCTGAAACACATAGATCAATTTAAGACCAATTTCAGGCCGTTGTAGAGTGGACCCTGTGATATAAAATACTGTTAGTGGGTTTCATTCCACAGTTTCCATCTATATTGCCAAAGCCTCTCAAGTTCTGCGTAGTTCATTGATTCTGGAGCAAGTCATTCCTGTGCCCTAGAATGCGGTCTCTAATTGTTTCCATGTTTCATAACATGCCCATAAGCACATGAATTGGTCTGGGCAACCACAGAGAGGGAAGAAAATGTTTGGAAAAAATGAGGACTGGAAGGAGAGTAAACTGTATACACCTGGGATTTCCACTCCAAGGATATTATTTGTGGTGGCTGAGTACATACAAGGTTGACAAGACATCCCCGCACACACACACACACACACACACACACACATACACACACATACAAACCCACACCCCTGCCAAAGAATTACAGTCTCCAAAGTAGAATTTGCCATGTGATTCCTGACCCAAGTAACTCTATTAATTGATTGTCCACTTATTTTTTACCCCTTCATCTATCTGCTTTGGCAGTTTCCCTTCTATTTTGTCTCCTATCTTAAAATACAAAAGACAGAGGGAAGGTGGAAGCCTCCTGCTTGGCAAATTCTGGAGCAGCAGGATGAGTGTTAGGTGATGAACAGCTTAGCAGAGTTAGGGGATGTCTGTCTCTCACTGTCCTCTCCAGCCAGCCTGCATCCACTGATGACTGCTGAAACTGTTGGTGCTTATGTTGTCTTTCAAACTGATTGATTGACTTACAAAGCTATTATTGTGGTTGAATTTAATGCTAGAAATGTATGGGATGAGGAAATAAATCTTGATACCCGACAAATGGGACAATATTAGAATTGTCATGCATTGTGGGCCAAGTTTTCAAAATGGATGACTAGAAATTAGTAATTCTATACTTGGCTTTCAAAACATCTAAATCCTTTTCATCTCCAAATTGAGAATAATCACGCAAACCAGTTGATGGCATCATTACTGGAGTAGATCAAATGT